CTAGTAAGTTAAACTTGGAATGTTAACACTCATGTTTTCTTTTAATTCTTTTTTTAAAATAAAATTTTTTATTTTAATTGTGATTTTAATAAAAGTTTACGGAAAAATTAGATTTTTATTAATTCATTGTTGCATGCTTTTACCCCCTCTTCCTCCCTTCCCCCTCCTACTGCTCACTTTTTTAAAAAAATTATTTTCAGTGAACAGTTATAGAGATTTTGGTCATTCGTTGATTGTTGCACTTTTCTCCCTGCCCCCCCCCATTAGCTCTTCTCTTTGAAAAGTAGAAGAAAAATCCCTTCATTGTTATACACTTTTTTAAAAAAAAATACTCATTCATTGTTGCACAATTATCTCCCTCCCTCCAGTCCTCTTTGCAATACCTCTTATTCTGGGCTGCTGTTGGACATATAATGCCTAATCATATATTCCTTTTAAATAGTTTTTTCCTTCATCTGTTCTAGTGCAGTGTTCATTTCCTAGACACTCTTAATTCTGTTCTCCTCCCAAAGCCTCGTGTCAGATCTGCATTATAACAATGGTGCTATGCAGTATTTATCCTTTTGTAATGGAGATATTTCCACTCAGCATAATATCCTACAGGATCACCCATGTTGTGTAATGTTTTATCAGTTCATTGTTTTTCAGTGGCTATGTAGTATTCCATTGTATGAATATACTGTAATTTTTTTATCCATTGGTATGTTGATGGGCACTTGGGTTGCTCCTATCTCTTTGCTATTGTAAATAATGCAGTAATAAACATGAGCGTGCATATATCTGTTTGGATGGCGGTTGTGGTTTCTTTAACGTATTTTCCTAATAGTGGCATTGGTGGGTCAAATGGCATTTCTATTTCCATCTTTTTGAGAAAGCGCCAAACTGCCTTCTGTAGTGGTTGTACCATTTTACACTCCCACCAGCAGTGAAAAAGGGTTCCAATCTCTCCACAACCTTGCCAGCATTTATTGTTTGCTGCTCTGTTACACTTTGCTGTTGTTGCTGGTGAGATGATATCTTCATTGTTGCAAATCTAACTAGAAACACAAAAGACCTATACAAAGAAAATTACAAAACATTACAACAAGAAACAAAAAGAGACCTGGAGAAGTGGAAGAATAAACAATGCTCATGAATAGGAACACTCAATATTGTGAAAATTACAATTCTCCCGAAGGAAGTCGACAAGTTCAATGCAATCCCAATATAGATACTAATTTCATTCTTTAACGAGATGGAAAAGACAATTTTGTGTTTTATTTGGAAAGAGACACCGAATAAGTAAAGCACTTTTGAAACACAGAAACAAGGTAGGAAGTCTTAAATTCCCTGACTAGACTGCCATGGTGGACAAGATAGCTTGGTACCGGTATAGTAACAGACACATGTTGTTGTTAGGTGTTGTTAAGCTGAGTACAACTCATAGGTCAGGACCCAGTACTGTTCTGTACCATCCTCACACATCCTGACATACAAGAGCTCACACATCCTGATATACAAAAGCCCTTTGCAATAGTCACCATATCAGTCCACCTGGTTGAGGGTCTTCCTCTCCTTCATTAACCTTTCACCAATATCATGTCCTTCTCCAAGGAATAACACCTCCTAGCAATATGCCCAAAGTATGTGAGGTGAAGCCTCACCATTCTTGCCTCCAAAAAGCACTCTGGCTACACCCTCTCCAAGACATATCTATTCTTTCTCTTGGCTGTCTATGAGATGTTCAGTGCTTTTCTCCAACACCATGGCTCAAAGGCACCAATTCTTTTTCATTCATCCTTATTCATTGTCCATCTCTCAGATGCATAGCAAGTAGTTGGAAGGATCATAGCCCAAATCAGACACACTTTCATCCTCAAACTGATATCATTACTCCTCAGTAATTTTGAGAGGTCCCTAACTGCAGATTTTTCCAGTGCAGTGCATCTCTTTATTTCCTCACTGCTGGTACAAGGGATGTTAACTGTGGATCCAAGCAAATCAAGCTGTTGACAGTTTCAGTCTCCTCTCCATCCATTATGAAGCTGCCTTTGAGTCCAGTAGTAAGAATCTTTGTCTTCTTGGCATTGAGATGCAATCCATACTGAAGGCTGTATTCCTTGATCTTCTGCAACAAATGCTTCAAGTCCTCCTCACTTCATCTTAAGAACAGGTTTAATGCATTGAACACCAATGATCAAAGACCAGATGACTTGTGGGATGATATCATGGATATCATCCATATAGAAAGCAAAAGGTTATAATAAAAATGGAAGAGAAAGAAAAAAAAATCAAAATGCATGTCAGAAGAAATTCTAAAGATTGCACTGAAGCATCAAGAATCAAAAACAAAAGGACAACATGCTGAAGTGAGAGAGCTGAACAGAAGACAAGACACCTAAGTCAATGAAATAGACTTGAGAACCCAGAAATCAACGCATCTATCTGTGATCAACTGATTTTTTACAAGGAGTTGAAATCAGTTAAGTGGGAAAACGAAAGCCTCTTTAACAAATGGTGTTGGCAAAATTGGAAAACCATCTGTAGAAAACTCGAGACCCACACCTCACACTATACACAAAAACCAACTCAAGGTGGATCAAGGACCTAGGAATAAAAGGAAAGAGTATATGTAAACTTCATTAGAGAAGCTTGGAAGAATTCTACAATCCCTAATTCATAATACAGTCTTTAAAGCATAATGAAAAACCTGCAGCCAGGAAAGAACAGAATAGATGAATGAGACCTTCTAAGAATCAAAGCCCTGTGTACATCAAAAAACCTCCAGCAGGGTAAAAAGGAAAGCCACAGACTGGGAAAAAGTATTTGGTAATGATATAACTGATAAGGGACTCATTTCTAAAATTTATAGATTACTCCAGCACCTCAACAAGAAAAAGAAAACCAAGTCACAAAATGAGCACTGGATATGAATAGACACTTCACCAAAATCAACATTCAGATGGCAAACAAACACATGATGAAATGTTCAAAATTTCTAGCTATCCTTTAATATTTCTTATGTCTTGATGGAAAATATTTAGATAAGGACAGACTAATCTGAGATAATGTATTTAAATTGACTTATAGCTTTCTGTTAATACTTGATTTAAGCTGGTATCCCATGAGTGAAAATTTCATATCTTGTTATTTTCATTTGGTTATATTTCCAAATTGGAAAAAAAAATTTATCAACACCAAGCCATGCTCTTAACTTCCAATTATGTAGTTTCAGATGTTTGTTCTCTTGGGTACCTTTTTTCTCCTATGTAATTTACAGTCTCTTGCTCTTAGGAGCTATGGTGACCTACTGGATAGAGTTGCACTGCAGTCTCCTCCATGCTATTTTCAGCCTCTGAAAACCTGCTTCGTTCCAACTCCACAGCAGTGAATTTTTCCTCTGTGTGTTACTACTATATATTCTGTCATTGTTGTTAAGTGCCTTTGGGCTGCTTGTGACTCATAGCAACTACAACAGCCTCCTCAATCCTGTACCAGCCTTGTTGTCTTTGACACTCCTACTCCCATTACTCCAGTCACTGAGTCCATTCATCTCATTGAGGGTCTTCCTCTATTATGCTGTCCCTCCACCCTTCCAAGAATAGTATCTCTCTCCAAGGACTGGACCCTCCTTGCAACATGCCCAAAGTATGTCAGACGAAGCTTCAGAATCCTTGCCTCCAAGGAGCAGCCTGGTTACACCCTCTCGAGGATGAACCTGTTTGTTCTCCCAACAGTCTATTCAGTATTCTTATCCAGCATCACAGCTCAAAGGCATCAATTCTCTTTCTGTCTTCCAAAAGAAATAATACATGTATTTTTTCCCCCAACCTGATACATTGTGTTACATCCTTAAAAATATCTCCAAATGCTTATTGATTACTATAATCACAAGTGTCCATGTTTTTACCTAGATATTCAAGATAAAAGCAGTGCAATTGGCTGAGAAACTCCTTCCTGCCTTTAACACACCTACTGGAATTCCCTGGGCAATGGTGAATCTGAAAAGGTAAACAATGCTTTTATGTGGGTGTTCCCTCATTGAAAGAATGAGATGAACCAGTTTTTACCTTTCAAAATTGCTACTAATGTCCCAGTATTCTTTTTAAGACTTTAAATTATTTTCCTGGATATGTACAGAATAAAATTCCTTTAAACGAGGTTTTTTTTAAAATAACATCCTTGGCTTTGGAACACTACGTCATTCTTTATTTTAATCTCTGTCACTTATTTTCTCAAAGCCTAGGCTCTCTTTCTTAACTATGTGGTTATAAAATGTCTCTTATTTGCTTACTCATTTCCGTTGAGTGATACAATGTATTCATCATACTCCCCCTCTTTTTTTTTTAGCTACCTGCTAAATGTTCTGTAGGGAGCATGAGTGCCTAGTAGTTAAGGAATGGTGCTACCAACTGAAAGGCATACAGCTTGAGTCTACCAACTGTGTCAGAAAGATGGACGGTTTCCTCCTGTGCAGTTACAGCCTCTGAAAACCCACTGAAGGTCGGCTATGAGTCACTTCCTACTCTACAACACATAACAAAAACAGAACAGTATTTCTATATCAAAATGGAGAACAGTCTGCCTAAAAATCAAGATAAATGTGTTTTTTAAAACTAATGATAGACAGGCACATTCGTGATAGTGACCTACACTATTGCAGTGTGAAGTTAACTTTTAAAACATGACTTTTAGTCTACTTTGTTTCTGATAGAGAACACTTTTGACAGAGAAATGTTTTCTTTAGACAACTTTAGAAATAATTTAAAGATACTCAATTCAAGTTTTAATAATGGCAACATATTTTAACTTGCTTTTAAATAATGTATGTTGTCTGAAATTGTTATTGCTCATTTCTTCTTCAAATAAAAATTAAATTATTCATCCTAATTGTTGGCGCTTGTTCTCCTTCCACCTAGACCTATTCTATTTTTCTAGAGACATTAACATCTATTTGGGGGAAACCCAAAACTGTTTTATTTCTTTCTTTCTGATAAATAACTTGACAATGTTTGTTTACATTAAAAGGTCAGTGCTTTTTAAACTCAACTCGTTGCTGTTGAGTTAGAACTGACCCATAGGTGACTTTCAGCACGTTTTCAGAAGAGATTTTGTCCGTTTTTCTTTCATGGAGCAGTGTGTAGATTCTGGCTGCCTGGCTTTCAGTTGGCAGCACAACTCCCTGCCCACTAAGCTCCTTGAGTGTTTTTGTTTAATACTGTTGGGATGGGATTGACTCATAGCTGACCCTCTGGAAGGTTTTTAGTAAAGGGCACAGGAGATGATTGCTCATCTTTCTTCTCTGGAGCAGCCCGGGTATTTGAACTGTATACCTGTGGGCTGTTAGTGCAATCTCGTACCACCATGTTACTGGAGATCCCTTAGCACATATTACTAAATAATAATCTGACTTTTCAGTTCTCTTGTTTCATATATTGTGTGTAATGTAAATTGTCTCCATATGGGGGGGGGCATCTTACTAGAGTTGTAAAGGAACATCTTAAAAGAAGTATATAGACATGTGATATACAAATAACCTTTTCCTTAGAGTTTCAAGATGGATTTTCTAATGTTCCCTGTCATTTTAAAAATCATATCTTATATAGAAATTAAAACTTAGTTCTGAGATGGGTAAATACTGGAAGTTAATTTTGTTTTGTCTAAGTAGAGGGGGGGAAAAGGAAAAATCAAATTTATATGGGTAAATTTAAAATTTGGATTGAGATTAAATTATAACGCTTTTCAAGGAGGATGTCCTGAGCATTTTTTAAATTTAATTTTTAACTTTTTTGGTAATACTCAAGTACACAATTTTATTTAAGTTCACATGTCATTATTTATCTTTTTTAAAAAGTTGTCTTTAGCTTGAGGCAGTTTCTGCTCACTTGCCCACAGGCTTTCCGTCAGTCATGCAGTAGCTGTTAATCTATGTTAGTATTAACTTTCCTTAGAGTGTTTTTATCAGTTCTTCTTTTTCTTCTATAGTATGATACAGCATATAGAAATATATACATACATACAGGGTAGAAATTTGTATACTTGTTTTTCTGCTTCCTATTTTTGCATGTTGTCTTGTGCTGTCAAGTCGCCCACAATCCATAGTGACCCGATGTACAACAGTTCTGAAGCCTGCCCTGTCCTGAGCCAGTCTCACTGACTCTGACAAACCACCCCCATTGCCCTAGTTACTGTATCAATCCATTCTGTCCTGGACCGCCTTCTCCTGTCCTATTGCTCTACCCTTCCAAGTCTGATGTCCGTCTCCAAGGATTGGTCCCTTCTGGCCACAGGTCCAAAGTACATGAGATGGAGCTTCAGATTCCTAGCTTCCAAGGAGAAACTAGATTTTCTCCAAAACAGATCAATTTGTTTTCTTGTAGTCCATGGTATGTTCAAGACTCTTCTCCAGCACCACAACTCAATGGCATTGATTCTTCTTCTTTCATCCTTGGTCACTAGCCAGCTCTGTGATGCATAGCAAGTAATTGCAAAGACCATGACTGTTTGCATGGAAACATTCTTCTGGGCAATTTGATAAAATCTTTTCTTGTTTTTGCTTTTTTAAAAAGCTTTATTTTATTGTGATTTTAATGAACATTTACAGAAAAGTTAGATTCTCATTCATTCATTGTTCCACATTTCCCTCCCTACTCCTTAGTTCTTTATCTCCTGTTGTTGTTGATTGTTGTCTAGTTGAGCACGTCTCCTAGTGACCCTATGAACAAATTCTTCCTCCCCTAGTTAATTTTTTTAATTTATAATGTCTTTTCTTATTGCACATTTTCTTCCCTCCCTCTTCTCCCCTTTTCCCAGCCCTCAGCAGTGCACCCCTTGTTCGAGATTGCTGTCATACGTATAATGCCTGATCATATATTCCTTTCAGCTAACTTTTCCTCTCATTTGTTCTCCTGCAGAGCTACAGCTCAGACAGATCTATGCCTACCCATGTTTATTGCAGCATTATTCACAATAACAGAGAGGTGGAAGCAACCTAAATGCTCAGCAAGAAACAAATTGAAAATAGTTTTTCAGTAGAAAAACTATGGTACTTTCATACAACTGAATATTATGCAGCATTGAAAAACATCAAACTCTTATAAAACATTACACAATATGGGGGAGTCTGGAGAATGTTATGCTGAGTGAAATATCCCAGTCACAAAAGGACAAATACTATATACCATTACTCTTATAAAATAGGACATGTGAGTGTGGGGTGAGCAGAGAATGGAAAAATAGTGGATAAATAATGATAAAATCTTTGAATCACTCATTTTGATAAGTGAATAGAGGGACATAAGGTTAAGCAAGGCCTTATGTCATACTTTTTAGGCATTGCTATATCAGTGCTATTAATTTGTTTCCATTATTTTAAGCATTTTTATGACAATACACTTTTACATAGGTCCTTGTGTAATAGAGAGTTTATTTCTTTGGAAATGATTCTTTAAAATGTGATTAATGGGTCAAAGCATGCATCTTTTTAGTTAGTGAGATAAATTCCTGGTGTGAAATTGCTGGATCAAGGGTCAGTGTATTTTAAAATTTGGTAGACAATCTAGAATGTTTTCCAGAAAGTTTGTAGTACTTTACATTTGTACTAGCACTGTATGAGAATACCTAAACACTCCTTAATTTTTCTTTATATAAATTCTCTTTCATTTTTGGCAAATTGTGTTGTTTTTATCTATCATCAAGTTGGAACCAACTCATAACTGACCCTCCAGAAGTTTCCGAGGTTATAAATGGCTTGAGAGGACATTGTCTACCTTTCCTCCCATGGAGCAGCTGGTAGATTAGAACTGCATGCCTTTGAGTGGAAGGTGCAACTCCTTATCCACTGGCTACCAGGGGTCTCTTTGACAGATGAATACTTATAAAATGTTCATTGTAATTTGTATTCTTCTACTTATGACAGCAGAGAATTATCAGAAGAATGTCTGTTAGTGTTTTCTTGACTATGCAAAGACATTTGACTCTATAGAGAACAACAATTATGGCTAACATTGAGAAGAATGAGAATCCCAAAACACTTAATTGTGCTCATGAGAAAACTATGCCTAGATCAAGAAGCTGTTGTTCAAACAGAGCAAAGGGTCCCCATCAAGGATGTTTCCTTTTCTCCATACCTAATCAGTCTGTATGCTGAGCAAATAATTTGTGAAGCTGAATTCTGTGAAGGGAATGTGATGTCAGGATCAGAGGAAGACTTATCAACAACCTACATTATGCAGATGTAATAATCTTTCTTGGTGAAAATGAAGAAGATATGAAATGCTTGCTGAAGAAGATCAAGGATTACAGCCTTCAGTATACATCTCAACATCATAAAAGCTAAAATCCTCATAGTGACAGTAAACATTGTGATAAGTGGAGAAAGGATTGAAGCTATAAATTATTTCATCTTGCTTGGATCAATAATCAACATATTTGGTACCAGCAGTCAGGAGATCAGATGTATTGCATTGGGTATGATCTTCTCAGTCACCTGTTATGTATCAGGGACCTGGATAATGAATATGAATGACACAAGAATGATGCCTTAGAGTATCAAACATTTTGCCTTTGTAGTGCTGGAGAAGAGTACTGACTATTCCATGAACTGCCAAAAGTACAAACAGATCGGTCTTGGATAAAGTACAGCCAGAATCCTCTATGGAGCAAAGATAGCATAGCTTCATCTCTCAGATTTGGACATTTTGTTGGCTATGGCTACTGCTTGGAAAGGGACATCATGCTTGGAAAAATGGAGGGTCAGCAAAGGAGAGGAAAACCCCCCAATGAGATGGATTAACAGAGTGACTTCAGCAATGGGTTCCAGTGTGTCAGAGATAATAAGGATGGCATAGGATAGGACACAGTTCTTCAGGTTCATTGTTTATAGGGATTCTAAGAGTTGTACTTGCTTTGATGGTACCTAACAACAATAGCTGATCGATTTGAAAGCACTGTGGTGACTTAGTGATAATAAGTGGCATTGCCAACCCAAGGACATGCTATTTAAATCCA